GCTCCCCACCAATAGATGGAGCAGCCCGACAGATAAGCCCTCAATTCTGACGGTTCTCTTACCACCGCCAGGATAGAGGGATATCGCAAGGGCTATTCTTCAAAAAAAAAGAAAAAAGAAAAAGAAACAGGAGCTGAAGCAGAGGTCATCTGTCGTTTTTATCGCCAGGCAAGGAGAAGCGCCCTGAGATTCGTACATGTGGCGAGAAGGGTTACAGTTCAGGCGGCTGTTGGAGAATTTGCAAACGAATGAATGGCTAGCTCGTATCTTGTTATTGAGCGACAAACGGTGAGATAGAGGGGAGAGTGTAAGAAGGGGAAACAGTGGGAGACCTCGGATCTTGATATTGGGCCGTTGGGAGAAAGCGCCCCACGGCGAGACAGAAAGGAAAACGGAACAGAGGGAGAAATCGTGGGGCTTTCAGTTTCAACGAGCGTGGTGACAACGTGAGAGAAGCTTCAGAGCTCCAAGGGGAAGTTTCCTGCTTAGCCTGTCTGAATCTCCCGGAGGGCCGTTTCAGGACCTGTGGTGGAAATAATCGCCTTGGGATACCAAGGGAGATAAGGAAGGCAAAGAGAGGATCCGATAGCATGCGGAGTTATCATGATCACATCGTCAAGTTATGCAGGCAGCAGCTCGAATCTGAGACGGGACAGAGCTGAAGACCCCACGTACGTCATATACGGCACCAGGGGCAGGTGATCAGGAGTGGCGCGGGGGAGGAACTTCAATCTCAGAAAGCGGCAGCTGCAAGAACGAACGTGAGAGGCGGCGACAGCGAGGAAGAGTTGTCAGGAAAGATTCTTTGGAAAAGCCAGGAGCTCTGGCAGATTAAGGATATTTTGAAGAAACCGGGATTCTTACTGAGCTGAATGTGCTGCGCTTGAACTGTGGGTGTGAACTGAGAATGGTTCTGTGTGTTAGGGCAGTGCCATCTCCCTCAAAACAGTGAGGGAGAGGTATTGAGAGCGAATGATGCCGATCTGAGGAATAGACGGGGTGCTATTCACAGTTCGGGGGGAGTTAATGAGGATAATGATGATATTAGTGATGATGTTAATGATGATGATGACAATAATGGTGATATAACCGGGGAAGGCTATAATGATGGTGATAACAAATCGTTGGAATCCTTGGAATCACCTCAAAAGGGTGATGGTGATCATGATGATGATGACGATAATGGACCTTAAAACGGTGATGGTGATCATGATGACAATGAAGAGGATGACAATGAGGATAATGGGGATATGAGTCGTTGGAATCACAGGACTGGGCATGAAGAAAGAGAAGATGCAAATGCAGGTCTGGGCGGTACAGTCTATTGGGATAAGAAGAGAAGGGAAGACCGGGGAGTGTATTCCAAAGATTCCAAAGATATGAAAGGCAGTGAGCAGAACGAGGGCGAAGACAGTAGTGTTAAAAAAGCTCGTAACAGGGAGGGAAGGAGACGGGACTGGAGAATTCCTTGGTGCAGAGAGAGAACATTGTGTGTGTGTGTAGAGAGAGAGAGAGAGAGAGAGAGAGAGAGAGAGAGAGAGAGAGAGAGAGAGAGAGAGAGAGAGAGAGA